AGCACCTGGAGTCCAGGATTTGCTGGGGAGGAAAGAGTCACGGCTCCACCGGCCTCGAGGTGACCCGGCACGAATCTGGGGTAAATTTACACTCTGGGCGACAGGGCAGAGCCCGAGGGCCAGAGTGCTCGCTGTTGGGGAACAATGCCGGGCGCCAGAGAGGAGGGTCTGACGCCGCCCCCCCCAACCCCCGATGCCGTCTGCATCCCAGTCCCGACCCTCGTCCGGCCGGCGTCCGGGCAGGTGCCCCCAAGCCCGGGGCCCCGGCTCGCGCCTCACCCAGCAGCGCCCGCAGGTGCTTCAGGCGGGTCAGCACGTCCTTCTTGGGGTCCAGCACCTTCTGGGTGGACTTCTTCACATCCCCGTGGCTCCTTCGGGAGAACATCCCGCCGCGGGAAACCCGAGCCCCGCCGGCGGGGCAGGAGGCGCCTGCGCCGCGCGAGTCACAGCATAAGGTCCGGGCCGGCGCGTGTCGCGCGGGCCACTCGCCGCCCCCCGCCGGGCCACCGCCGCTACCGCCGCCGCTTCAGCTGTGGCTCCAGGAAGAAGGGGCGGGCCGGGTCCGGCGAAGGGCGGTGCAGGAAGGCGGTGTCGACGCTAAACCGACGGCCCCGCCCCGCGGGAGGTGAGGGCGGGCCCTTCGGGCGCGGCGCAAGCGCGCGCCTTTCGGACCCGCCTCGCGGGGGCGCGCCCGGAGCGCAGAGTCGGCGCCGCGAATCACAAAGAAGCTTGCCCCTTGCACAGGCTGTACTACAAGTCCCAGAATGCACTGCGAAAAAAGTCCTTCAATCAGGCTGGAGTGTCTTAGGCACGATGGGAGTCAATGGGTTAGGTCTGAGCACGTTCTTCCTCTTCAACAGGCCGTGTGCCGCAAGTTCTCCAGGGAAATGTAGTTGCGCAGGGGGAGAGGCGACGCGACTTCTGTTTCCAGAGTTCCCCAAGCCGCTGGACAGCATCCGCCAACCCCATCCAGAGAGGCCCAGAGCTCCCACACTTTCACTGCTTGGTGTGTGCTACCCACCCAGTTCACTCTAGTGCAACGTGAACCACAAAAACATCTCAGTAAGAAAGTTTCAAGGCTTTTAAAATGCAAACCATTTTCCGTTTTGGCTCAGGATTCACACCAGGAAGCGAATCGATGTCCCTCGACAATACTAAAATTGGAGCTCCAATTTCACACTAAAATGAATGGCTTTGACAGCAGGAAGAGCATCCCCAGACTCTGGGTGAGGAGTCCAGCCAGTCCCCTTGGTTCCTGGGACCCAACTTCACTTAGGGTATAAAGTTCCCTTGCTCCTCAGGATCTTGTCTCTTGCTTTATATAGGAGTGCACATTCTCTGTGTTGTGCAAGGCTGCATAAGAATCCAGTAGCAGAACCAGAAATAGAACCTGAGGGACCTGACTCTCAGGCCGGTATGCTTTTTAAGGCTAAGTTCCTGTAACCTCAAGCAAAACTTTGAGATGAAGGATGGCCTGGAGATTTCTTACAAGAGATCTGTAGCGTTACTTACTGGCATCTGGATCCTTTGATGCTCCAAATTTTGACAAAATTTGAGCAAGTACTTAAGCTGGCTGTTTAAAACCATGTGGTTTCCATCCAATTAGGACAACACAACATTTTCTCATTCAGGGGAACCTGTAACTTGGAGCAAGAGCTGGGGATTTGCAATGCTTTGTATTCTCATAACTAGCATGATATTTAGACTCTAGAAGCAGTCGATAAAAGTTTCTTAAATAAGATGAATAAAGAGCTAAAATAGTCCTATTTATCTCATCCAGGCATGCAAAAACATATCTTCTGGTTGCTAGAGCCTCTCTTTATTTTTAGAGTTGTCAAAATAGCATTGATAGAATGAGAACATATTCATGCAAAGAAATATTATTCAGCTATAAAAATATATATTCAGCTATAATAAACCCAATAACATGGGTGAACTCAGATCCAGAGATGGAAGCCCCACACCCAGGATGATGTCAGCCTGGGTACCCAGAGAACATCTCAAAAAGGGCCACAAACCCTCCAAGACTGTTGCAAGAGAAAAATAACCTTTTCTTTTAAAGCATTTTAGGTGTCTTTGTCACAGCAACTTGGACTGTACCTGGTTATACATAGTATGTCAGAGTATTCACTGCCCCATTCCTTTAGAAGAAGATACCTTTGATTCAAAAATAGGATGGACTTGTCTTAGGGAATTCAAACTTTCTATTGTAGAGCAAGCTGTCATTGTAATCAAACATTTATGGAGCATTTGCTGTGTACAAGGCATGAATCTAAACCTTGAGGATAAAAAGATGTATAAGATACAGCCTCCTGACTTCCAAGGCTTCCAGTCTAGTCAAAGGGCAGAACAACTGAATAAACGAAGAGATAAATGACAACGTACAGTAAACACGTGACACTGCCAAAACTTGGTAGTACCAAAAGCAGGCATTCATGCACTAACTTCATCTCATCCATTATATCTAGCCTTTATTTGCTGATGAAAATGTAGAACTCCAGATCTTCTCTAAAAAAATGCAAGAAATATAAATTATTACTTTGATAGTTTTTCACCCACGTGTAATATTCCGCATGAAACAAAAATAAATAAAAATACTGGTCATATTCTGTTGCTCTCAAAAATCATTCCTACTGGACGGTGACCTCCTTGAGGTCATTACCCTCTTTTTAATTAACTCTTTACCCCTGGAGTTTCAGAGTGCCAAGCACTTTACATACACTCACATGCTATTGAATAAATGCCCCACTTTCATTAATAATGATAATGAAATCAAGAGTTAAAAACTTGTAATGCAAATTAAAACTACCCTGAAATACCACTTGGATTAGTAAACAAAACAAAACAAAACAACCCACAAAATTTGACAGTACACTTTGGTAGCAAAGCTGCAGAAAACCATACCTGAAAGAAGTATAAAATGATAGTACAATTCCTATGGAGGGGAATTTGGCGAAATTATATATTGTTTGCCCTTTGACACAGAAATCCTACTTCTAAGAACCAACTTTGCCCCCACAAATATAAAACCACATGTGGAATGTTATTCCTTCCGCAAGTGTTTATAATAGCCAATGTATTGTGTTGAATAGATATAGCCATATCCTAATCCCCAGAACCTGTGATTGACTTTTTTCTTTCTTTTTTCAGAAAAAGGATCTGGGGCACCTGGATGGGTCAGTTGGTTGAGGTTCCAACTCTTGATTTCCACTCAGGTCATGGGACTGAAGGTCGTGGGACTGTGCCCCACACCGGACTCCGTGCTTACATTTTCTCTCTCTGTAATAAAAGAAACAAAAAAAATAGTAAAAGGATCTTTGCAGATGTAATTAAGTTAAGGATCTCAAAATGAAATCATCTTAGATTATCTTGGTGGACCCTAAACCTATTGAGTGTCTTTATAAGAGGTAGAAGAGGAGAAGACACACAGAGAAGGCCATGTAGAAATGGAGGCAGAGATGGGAGTCATGTAGCCATAAGCCAAATGATCCCTGGAACCACCAAAGCTAGAAGAAACAAGGAAATATTCTCTCTGGGAGTTTTCCAGAGGGAGCCCAACCCAACCATCACCTAGATTTCAGACTTCTGAACTTCAGAACTATGAGAAAATACATTTCTGTTGTTTTAAGCCCCCTAGTTTGTGGTAATTTGTTGCAGCAGTCCTAGAAAGTGAATACCATCAGATACTGGAAAGAGCCCAGTGTGACTGTCTAGCAAGACCTTGTTGGATATAGTGCATATATACACAGCAAAAGTGGCTGATTGAATCCTGTACACCTATGCAATGTAGTGCTGTGCAGTCGTATGCAAACATAAGAAATAATGAGAAAATTTCCTACATCCTCATTTTACTTAATCTTCCAGATATATTGTTAAATATAAAAGAAATAGAACATAAAATACATGTTTATTTGCTTTTTTTTTTTTCAGAAGGAAACATGGAAAGGATAAATCAAAAACCAACCAATGCCAACTTAAGTGGGATGGTAGATGGGGTAGAATGGATAAGAGATGGGAGAGTCCTCTCCAAGTATACCTTTTTATATAATTTAGACTTTTGAACCATTTAAATGTTTCACATAGTCAAAAAAAAAAAAAAGAAAAAACAAACCTTATCATTGAAAATGAACAGATATATAGAATAAACAAATGAACCCAACATATATCTAATTGGTAACATAACTGTATAAAGAAAATAATCATTTCAAGTGACTTTTAAAGATAGTATTCTGATTATAGACCCATAGAGGGATATATTCTAAAGGCAAAAAGATCTGCAAAGAAATATTAACTGCTGTTAGGACCATGGATTGTCAGTGTAAGAGAAAAGAGACACACAAATATAAAAAACAAAAAAAGTCAGTAAAAACTCTGTAAAACTAAATTTTACCTGGAAATATCAATTTGAACTCATGGTTCAAAAATGCATTCATGGGCCAAAGTTCATCATTTTCCATACAGATATGTAGTTCTTCCTGAAATATTTATAGAAAGACTTTCCTTTCTTCCATTGAATTAACTTGGTACCTTGGTCAATTATCAATCAACCATAAGTGTGTATCTATTTCTGGACCCCCTGTTATGGTCCATTGATCTAGTTTAACTTTAAACCAGTACCTCTCTGTCCAGATTACTGGAGTTTTGTTCTAAGTCTTGATTTCAGGTAGTGTATATTCTTCTTGTTCAAGATTATTTTGGGGCGCCTGGGTGGCGCAGTCGGTTAAGCGTCCGACTTCAGCCAGTTCACGATCTCGCAGTCAGTGAGTTCCAGCCCGCGTCAGGCTCTGGGCTGATGGCTCAGAGTCTGGAGCCTGTTTCTGATTCTGTGTCTCCCTCTCTCTCTGCCCCTCCCCCGCTCATGCTCTGTCTCTCTCTGTCCCAAAAATAAATAAAAAACGTTGAAAAAAAATTTTAAAAAAAAGATTATTTTGCCTATTTAGGTATTTTCCAATTCTATGTGAATTTTATTTTATTTTATTTTATTTTATTTTATTTTATTTTATTTTATTTTATTTTATTTTTTGAGGGGGGGCACCATGAGTAGGGGAGGGGCAGAGAGAGGGAGAGAGAGAATCCCAATCAGACTCCACACCCAGCACAGAGTCCCACCTGAATCTTGATCTTATGGCCATGAGAATATGACCTGAGGTAAAATCAAGAGTCTGACACTTAATGGACTGACACTCAACCCAGGTACCCCCATATGAATTTTAGAATCAATTTATCTATTTATTTTTTTAAAATCTGCTGTATTTCCTACTTTTTCTAATCTTGGGAAGAACCTAGAAGCAGTGATGCCCAGTAGCAATGAGTATACCTAGCGCCTAGATCTTGGTTTGCAAATATCATTTCCACGCAAAGTAATTAGGGTTCTTTAGAGAAATGGATGATTCCGGGTCTGGGAGAGAAAAATATAGAGTGAATATAAGACTGTGTCCAAATATCAGTAAGAAAGTTTCTAAAACATAGGAGCTCTAAAACATAAAACTTGAAGGGGCTTCTTATGGCAAAATG